GGGTTCAGTCACCCCCTCAACAGGGGAAGACTCCAGGAAAACAGTTTGGTGTGACCACGAGTCACTCCCTCCAGCCTAAGGGTCAACGCGCTAGGTTAATTGAAGACCTCGGCGCTATATATGACTCTACTGCCTCGCCAGCATAGGCTTAGCATGCCAAAGACCAAAGGCGTCTAGAGAACAGACCTTCTAACTCCTACCCTACCTCGTTATACGCAGCTAGAGGTAAACGCCAACCTAAATAGCCAAGCAGGCAGGTCGGGCACGCGCCTTACTATGGCTACCTCGGCGTACGTCACTATAACCTGATGATCACCCCTACCAAGTGCAGGAAGACAGTTTGGGGTGACAACAGTAAAGGGTCGCTCACCTCAAGGACTGAATTTACTAACTCAACAACTCAGATAAAGCAAACACTCCGGCATAAGTGAATCACACAAAGGAGAATACAAAGAAACAAGAAATGTGATTTCATTATAAATGTGATCTCGTTACAGAATCTGGGTCATAAACGTGATTTCATTACAGAATCCCAAGTACAAAGAAACAAGAAAAGGGGAGTACAAGGAGCACACAACTATTTAGAAGGCTTATCAGCCTTACTCGGGGCCTCTTTGGGGGCCTCCTTGGGGGTGTTAGCCAGGTCAGTAGTATCGGCCTCCTCGTCACCGCCCTCATCGTCAGAATCTGGGTCATCCACGGCCTGGCGGGCCATGTCGTCTGTAATATTATAGGTGGTGAAGGTACTTATGTCAAGATCAGGGTATGCGTGCCTTATCCACCACCTACCGAGCTTGAACTCCCTACGGTAGGCCTTCGACATTACGTTGTCAAATCTAGACGACTTGACATAGTTGATAACGGCCTGGGCCTTCGCCTCCTCGAGAGCTTCGTCGAAGATCTCAGTCTTCTCCTTAATGTCGGTTTTGAGGTACTCCACCTCATGCTCCAAGGCCCCCTTGGCTTCCTTAAGCCCCTGCACCTCAAGCTGTGAAGCCCTCTGACACGCCTTGAGACTCTCCACCTCGAGCTTCAAGGCTTCTTGACCCGCTCTGAGCCCGTTCACCTCGGCCTTGAGCTTATCCCTCTCGCGGGCCAGCTCCTCCTTCTCCAACAGTAGGGCTTCGATAAAGCTCTTCTGGGCGGTAGCATCACTTTCCAACTGGTGAATCTAGCCCCAAGCTGCCCTCAGCTCTGTGTGAGTTGCGCAAGATGACTTCTCAGCAGCTAGAGCACGCCTCAAGTGTTTGTCGAACTGAAAGGTCAACGCGTGCACAGCGGTGTTCACCTGGCAGAAGGGGGTTGGTCAGTACTAAAGAAAGAAGAAGGAAAGAAGGGAGAGAGAGAGGTGGCTATTAAGGAGTGAACTCACCACCATGGCATGAGTTGCAGCGCGAGCCCCAAGCTGACTAGGAGAGAGTTCAGCCCAATCTACAACCTCCGCGGCGATAACAGCCCCCTTACTTCTTTCAAGGCTGATATCGGGATTCATAATGCTCTTTGCCTCCTCCTCAGTCCCCGAGCTGGATGTCACCATATCCGCGGCACGATGGGCTGATCCCTCAGAAACTTCGGCAGCAGCCCCGACAGGATTTGGGACCTCGGCAGCAGCCCCGACGGGGATTGGGACTTTAGCGGCAGCCCCAGCTGGCTCAGGCCCCGAAGAGGGGACCTGCGGGAGATCGGGTTCAGGGGTAGGGGTCCTTGAGGGTTCCACGCGCGCCTTCTTGGCAGCCCGCTTCTTCCTCTTCTTCATCTGACAGAGGACCCTCGGACCGGTAATCCTCTCTTCCTCCATAGGACCTACAACAGAGCTCGGTGTCATTAAAATTCGAAGACACTATGCGGATTGAACAAAACGCTAAGGTGGAAATCGACCTACCCGGGCTCAAACCGGCCTGAATGAGATTTTCTTCAGCAATGTAGTCCCTGTGATCGAACCCGGCCTGAGCCCATGAATGAAAGGTCTCCCACGTCTTCCGGTTAAGAGCGATGCTGGGAGCTTGAGTGGCCACCCTTCAGTTGGTAAGGAATGGCCACTCCGTGCTGCTCTGAACTACAAAGTAGTCCCGCTTCCAGGCCGGGACCTTGCTTGGGAACTTGTGTAGCATTTTGAAACCCGGGTGAGGGGACAGGTAGTAGGTCTGCCCGTGCTCGGGTGGAGCGCTAGACGCACTCTTTTATATTAGCAGGATGGAGCAGAGGATGTCTACGTCCAGAGAGAAGTTTTGTTCGGAACAGAGGGAGATAGTCCCGACCAGGTTCCGAATAGAATTGGGGTGGAGCTAGTCCAGCGTGATGCTGAAGCACCTCAACACCTTGGGAATTAGGTGGTGGAGCGAGAGACGAAGCCTGCCAACTAGTTGTTCCCTGAAGATCACGATCTCGTCTGGACCGTGCTCCCAAGGGAAGTTGCCGATGGGAAGACTGTACGAGTACTCCTGGGGTAGGTTGAATTGCTGGATGAGGTGCTGAAGCCTCTCCTGTGTCATGACAGATGGACCGAACTGGTCCGGCACCCGTCCTCGACGAGAGGTAGATGCCAGTTTGCCCAAGGTCACCCAAGCCTCGTGGGAAGGACGGGCGACGGCAGGGTCACCCCGACCCGAGGTACCCACCTCGGGTTCGTCTAAAAGACTGTCCCCACTAGACATGGAAGGGGATGAACTGAGAAAAAAGGAGAAAGGGAAACTCGGGGACTCACCAGGAAAACGATGCAACCGGACTAGGAGACCCGAGCTGAAGACCCCAGACGCGAGCTTACGGTAGACGAAAGGTACTTAGCGGCGAAAGAAAATGACCAAGGTCCCCTGATATTTATAGCCGATGGGCCCGTGCGCCAATGGCCAGGATCGAAGCGATCTAATGGTCCTCAAGAAAACCGGCTGCGGGACTCTCAAGGCGAAATCAGTTTATCGCATTTTTTGGCGTCCGCGAAGTCCAGATCGTGTGACACCCGTGCCCAGGTCTTCCTTCCGAATGAACTGAGTGTCGGAGCAGTCCGACCAACGAGCCACCCGATACAATGACACGAGAACCGAGCCAAATCCACCCAGCGCGTCATGAACTCTCCGCGCTGGGTCGCCATCCCCAGCACGGGGAGTGGGGGGCAATTGATGAAGGGTGATTTGGCCTGACCTCGTAACCCGGGGACACGTGTATATGACCTGGCCCAGCGTACAGCTCACCCTGACAACACGACCGCAACTCGACGGGAGAAACACGCCAAGTCCATCGCTGGCCACTCGACGTGTTAAGCAACTCGCCGGGGACTGACACCTGGCCAATTTTGACTTCCACCAAGTGTGGAAGGTCCTGAGCTCTCTCAAGGGCCCGATCTCTCCCTAAGGGGCCCGAAGTTCTCCCTTCCCGAAAAGGGAGCACCCTGGCTCGTGGTTGTGTCCCGACTGCACCTCGGGGCAGCATCGTCCTCCCTCCCCCTAGTGCAGGCACCTCGGCACCTTGGTACAGGGACAAACCTGCCCCAGACAGTCTGGTGCATGGTAGCTCGGTAGGCTGTGGGGAGCCCTGTCTGACTCCGTACCCATCGAACCCAATGGTAGGACTCTGATCCCTCGCTAGGCGGTGTTCTGTTTGCCTCCTCTGGAAGGCATGACATGTTTGTCAAACCCGTACCGGGCAATGGCAGTTTGTGGCGGCAACCTGCGCCTGCCACACCTACCCCAGCAGTAACGGCAAGGGCGATGGCGGTTATGCCAGGTATGGCCCGACTCCAACATAAAAGGACCCGAACCCACACAGAAATGAGGTATTGAAGCTTAAGCACTTTGAGCACTCTTACTCACTGCTCTCTTTGAGATTTCCTTCAGTTCTAACTTAGCCATCGGAATGTTCCCACCGGGACAACTCCCCGGGAACCCTTCACTTTTTCCTTCCTCTCAGATGCCGTTTGTTCCACAGTCAGAAGCCAAGTCACAGTTAGTGCCCAAATCGTGCGGCATCAGTAGTCATAGAGAGATAGAATGAATAGTTGAAACTTGAAAGGAACAGAAATGGAGTTCGACTCTATCTTTTTTCGCCAATCCCAATCATATTTAAATTTTCAAGAGAGTACAAGAAATGAAGAAAGTCCAAGGAAAATAAAATGTTTATTGAGAGATGGCGAGAAAGTCAAGAAAAGAAAATCTTTCACACCCACGTGGTCTCTTTTTAGTTATTCCCTAATAACTAATTTATTGTTGACCTCATACATGATATTGGTATTATATTGTGTGTCTGTCAATTGTCGATGTTGGGCACAAACCCTACACAAGAGTAGAATAGCTCTGAAAATAGTTTGTTGTTAGCCATTATTCATTCATTAGCTAGCAACCCCACCCCAGCACAGAAATAGAATAGCTGCACTCCTATTGGGTCATTTGTTTTATAAGGTGGAATCATAGGTGAGCAATAGTATACCAATTCCATAACTGAATGGGTAGGGGTGTCTATTGACATATATTCTTATCTTTCAGAGATTGATTCAATCCAACCCAATTCAATATGAACCCATTGCGGATGGACCAGGTCCAATTCAATCCGATAAAATATTTTGAACCATTAAATCTGGACTATTAGTAATTGTTTCCAATCCATTCAAATTGACTTTGATTTAGACGGGGTCCACCCATAATCAGTCCACTGACACCACCTAAGTATGGGCCATTGAAGGATTTTTTTTTTCAGGGCTCTGCTTTCCAAAAGTCCAACCAAGACCCATCCTATTTATCCAATTTTCTCAGTTTTCTAATAAAAGCTATTGTATCAAAAATCTATCTTCTAAATCAAACTTATCCACTAAGGAAGAATACCAGTTTCCAGTGGGAGATTGAAAGATGCTGTAAACAAAATGAAACTAATGTGTTGTTTTTACTTCAAGAGTGAGTGAAATTATAATGCAAAATTTAGAAAATAAGTAATCATAATATTATTAATTGCATCAAATGGCTTTTATTTTTCTATTAAAGTAATTAGAAACACATGGAAAACTCACAATTGGCGGTTCACTCAGCCTTGTACTTAAACATTAATTAGTATATCAAAATCCTTGATCAATGTATCAAATACATTTTATAATATGAGAGGTAAGGGGTGACGTATATGCTTTATCCTTCTTGGGCAGCCTCTAAACTTAAGCCAGAAGTGCCTTTTGCGCTACTCATCACCTAAACTTACAATTGCCACAACCCTCAAATGTCAAACTGAGTCATCAGTCATCACCCACAGCCAGTGCCCAAGAGCCCCTTGATGCAAAGCCCATACTGAAAATATACTTTTTATACATACATACACACACAAACCTGAGATTTATATTGCCGCTATTAATAAAATTAGTTTGAGGTTTGAATGTTGTATATTTACTAAAAAGTAAAAGGCTTTTGATCGGATCTGTTTGCAGCTCTTATTTCACTTGAGACTCCTGTGCAATCACTCTTTGACTGATGGCCTCGGGATGGACTGCCATCCTGTACATAGTTCTAGAACTTCTTTCAGAGAATCTGAAGGAGCTTCCATTGTCCATTTCGGGTAATGTTCACTTGGATGGAACATGCCCTGTTCGGAAGCCTCTGTCAACAAACATGCTTGAGCTCCATTTAGGAAAAGGTCGCCTTCAGAAGTTATGCATCCCGATCTGCCCTCTTCCCTGTCTGCTGCCTGCCCAATCATCATGGTAACCCAACGGTTCAACCTCACTATTGAAACACCATGTCTAGGATTGACGTAACATAATTAATACAAGTGAGAATCAAGCATATATCCACCACAAAGAGATAAATCATCACAAACAGGAAAACCAAGCTAAACCAATTTCTCCAAGGCCCTTACACAATGGCGAAATAAAAAGGAAGACAAAACAATGAGAGAAAGGAAGACAAAAGCAAATGGTTCTCTCTATAAAGGTACAAGAAAGAGAACCTTCGGAACCAATAGAAGCAGGAGGTCATGATCAGGGTAGTGTATGTAGGATATGTATATTCCATATCCTACTTATAAAGATTGATTTTCAATCTGTTATTCTTCAAAAACGTCTAGATTAGAGATTAAAGATCTTAGGCCCAGTAAAAATATTACAATACCAAATTTTAAACGAAGGATTTTGTTGATACTGAGGACTTTACAAGTTTTTAATGGTGAATACTACATCAAAGTCCTTGAGTCAAGATTGTGATTCCAACAACCTTATGAACTCCAATATAATCTCTCAATCATCTTCCAGTGTCCTCATTTTACCCCTTTTACTTGAATCTTTTTCTGTTTTTCTTATATCTGAATTTTAATTCTTTACATCTTGAATCAACAATTATAAGTTCTTTCTAGTTTAGTGATTCTTGAATCCTATATGTAGATGTATTACTTTTTTTTGTTTTTTGAATTTTAGGCTTTAGTATTAGTTATATAATTTTAATTCGTAAACCTTAAATTTTATTGAATTCCCTCTGTAAGATTCTAATATTATAGAACTTATTTTCTTGATCCTCTGCCTCAACTGTTTCCAAATTCCTTTCTGTCTCTCATCTAACTAAAGATAATCTAATTCTGATACCTTTCTTTTGGTGGAAAGAAATGGCACTATTTAATGATTCTGGTCCCAGCAATTTGGGATCTTTAGAAGGGTGGACTGTACATGGACCTAACATCAGTTTTTGCATGAAGTTGCCAACCTTAGACTCAAACCAACATTCCCGTACTTATCAGCACGATACATTGTGTGGCACCAAGCAATGGCCCCCTCATTTTAGCAAATACCAGCTTTTGTGATTCCATTACCTACAGCTAATCTCTTAAATATCTTCTTAAACATAGACTCCTCTAAACCATTATGTCTACACAAACCAAAGGTTATCCTGTTTAGTCCAATATCACATACTTTCTTTACTTTCTGGGTAAACCAAAACATGCTTTAATAGACCACCACTTAAAAGGAAACGATATGGTGAAGATCTACAGAATGACTAGGCATAATAAGAATACATATGTAAATGAAAATCTTCTAAAAATCCAGTAATGTAAACAATGTATCATGCCTTGTCTTTGCTGTATGTGCAGAGACAATAGCAAAATGTATGGTTATAGCTATTGAAATAGAAATGATATAAGTAGTTGCCTGAAAGAAATATAGATGTGAATCAGGTGAGAAAACAATGGCTTATCCTTCATTTGTGTTTGTATGACACCAATTTTGCATTGGTATATCTTGGCACAACAAATCTTCAAATTATTTCTGGTACATTACATGGATACTGAAACTGCAGTAGAAAAACAAATATACGAAGAATATGTATAAATGAAAATACAGGTGATATGGGCCATTTTTCATTCTACTTCTGGGTGTGTTTATCCAACATGAACGCGTTGGTCAACACAAGCATTTCGACAAGTTAATTCAGCCTTGGGAAAATGCAAGCATATTTCCACTGGTTATCAATTAATGAACTCACTGAAAAAATAAAATCTCAGTAACAAAACCCATGTTTTATGAATGAAAAAGTATAAAAACCAAGTGGTTATTCCAAACATCTGTGTCAAAACCATCTCCTTACTGGCCATCAACCAAGCTACCTAATCAAAATAGATATATAATAAATTCAACCTTTTAAAAATAGGCATTTACCATGCTGGGTGCAGGTTACAGGTTTTCACATTTTGAGGTGAATAAGTCCCACAAAATATCTGCTACCTAGAATATATTATAGGTTCCCTAAATGGAACTCCATCTTGTTTCACTTTGTTATTTCGTGAACCTGTTAATTTTATGATCACATAATAGTATTCTTTCACAAGTTAAGACAAAATCCATAATGCCATGCAAGGAATATAAGTTTCCTCTCTAGATCTGTAAAGCCCTAAAGATATTCCCAAGTGGTCACATAAAACACCAGATTTACAGAAGTTCCTAAGCACTCAGGTAAGAAATAATCAATATGAATTGTTTTGCGATTTACCTTTTCTGTCAGATATTTAAAAGTGACCTTCTTCTGTCCTGCCTCGTATATATTGCACTGAGAGTATATCTGGAATAAGAAAAATTATACAATCACGAAATTACTGAAAAAGCTTCACAGTGCTATACAAAGTACAAACAACTAATGGAGAAGATTTTGAGAATATTTATTCATATTTATTCTCCAGATGATTGATCATGTTTTAGTCACATGGCCAACCCAGTCCATTCATCTGCAAGGCAGTCCTCTGGATTGGAACATATGCATGCTTTGTCCACATCAACCCCATATGCTAGAGAGCACTGACATACACCTCCATGAATGACTGACATCAATCAGTTCTGTTTTACTAAATAAATCAAAAGGAGATATTTCAAATCTCCATGTGATTGAGGATTATTAAGCACATGGAAAAGGTGGGTGATCAAATATATGGACCAGTTACAATCTGCCAACTCTGCTGCATGTTAGTGCAGGACCATACATCTAGAGAAGTACGGATCAGGACAAAATGGTCTAATGAGTCCACACTCATCTTTAACTAAATAAATTTAGAGGTGTCAAGTTCATCAATACCTGTGACTCTACACTGGCGCAAACAGCATATATACCCCAGTTCCTAGTGTAATTGTTGTATAGATGAACCTTTCCAAATCTAACACGAGGGTGCCGCTGTCTGGTCCCATTAAAAAAGCAATGGTGAATAGTCACTCGAATACATCTGTCACCAGTATGAGTGGGGTCTGCTCCAATAAGAATGGTCTTGTCATGCTGTGAAAAGTGACATCTGAAGGCATGAAGAGCAAGCATTTGATTTAGTGATCTTAATAAAGCACTCACCAGTCTCACCCACATAATTCATTCCAAATTGAGTAAAATGCACAATTGTCTCCTCACCTAGAGATGGTAATATCCGTGCTTTCACGTGTGATATCAATCAACCCATCATCATAATCACGCAAACTGCAGCGGTCTATCCATATGTGTCTTGATTTGGGTTTTATTTGAATGCAATCAGCATCAGGTCCTCTACCACCTACAAACTCCAGATTGCATATAATTACATGCTCGCATTCCTTCATCCTAATACCTTTGCCTGTTAATTTTATCCTTTGACCCCGGCCATCAATTGTCTTATATGATGATACACTCAAGTAAGACAAAAGTTGAATTGTGCCCGAAACTTCAAAAACAACCCAGAGTGGCTCTTTTCTGCGACATCCATCACGTAAAGATCCAGGACCATCATCTACAGACGGAAGGGGAAATTTATCATAGTACAAGTATGAACACCTAACCCCAATCTAATACCCTCTCCACAGCCATCAAACACCCAATTCAAATTAATATATATATATATATATAAGAGAGAGAGAGAGAGAGAGAGAGAGAGAGAGAGAGCTGATGAGCTCGTAAATGTACTGTTAGCATGGAGAACTTTCAACATGATAACTTTTGAATCTTGACAAAAAAGCATAAGAAAACTAGAAGTTGATCCAAACTGCGTTAATTGAAAATATAATCAACTCAGCCCTTGAAGAAACATAGAACGCAGGTTGAGTGACCAAGTGACAGGATGCTCCAAATCCTATTAACCTACTCACGTCATAAAAAATGTGCATGAAGCAACCAAATTAGTTCTCCCAGACTAAACTATGTGTAACTAGTAACTCTCTGCACAATTCAATCTAAATGTACTCCCAAACAAGACCTTCATTGAAAAACAGGGCATGTGGAGGAACCATTCCAATTCAACATTCACATTACATAATAACAAAATAGCAAAAGAAAAATCTCTCAAACAAGAAAAAGAAAACCAGGATGAGCTCTAAAAAAGTGGAGGAAAATTCCTGAATGACCTCTGATATTTTCATATAAAAAGATGAAGGGAAAATGGAATTGGATTTCAATCAAAACAACGAACATAATAATTATATTCAACTCAGGCTATAAATAGAAAAGGAGAGTAGAGAAAAAGAGGACCTGCTAAAGTGGTGACATGATAAAGAGGTCCGTGAAGACCACCGATGGCGAATCGTCCAAAACCCTCTGCCTGTCCAGATAAAGCTCTTAAGCTGTAATCGACGTGAGCGTACGGCAATGACAACATCTTCGTCTCCATTGTAGAGCACCCTCGGTGGTCAGTGGTCTAAGCAGCTTGTTTTGGTGGGTTTTTATTATCTTCATTATCGTCAACAGCTTCAACTGACGTCCTTCAATCGGAAAAAGGATCCGTTTCAGCCGTTTCGACTCTTGCGACGATGGTCGAGCAACGCCCATGAATAGTACCCATAAATTACCAAATCCAGTAACCGGCCAACCGACCGACAACTTATTGCTCAGCAGTTATCTCGCCCTCTCTGGCTGTAGCGCAAGAAGCTCCCAAACAGCTCAGGCTGTTTTTTCCCAAACAACCAAAGTTTTCCCCCAATGGGTTTGCCAGAGTAGTCGAGTAGTCTTTGAAGTTTGAAGTGAGCAGTCAGTATACAACTACATGGATTCGACCTTGTTCGTTTTCCGGTAAAAATGGGTAAGTGGGTGTGTCTAAACGATAACATCATACGTGGCAAGTGGCAATATGAATTGGACCCACTTTTCTGTCTCTTTACATTTGCATTCTTGCCAGATGTCATAATATAAACCGCTCGATCTACATGTCCTGAACTTCATATAGCCGATGTTCATAACGCCCATGTCGTTGACCATGTGACCTTACTAGATCTCCTCTCTTCTCTTCTCATCCCAATCAGTCATTTGTGTGGGTTCTGTTTACCAATAAAATTCTTTTCTTTATTGAGTAAAAGTTTATTCTCGGTATTACATAGGCGCCGTATCAGCAGCAAATTTTGGTTTCTCTGTACCTTTCCCGTTTTAGGAACTTTTTCAAGTTTTCGAAATGAATAAGTATTTATTGACATTTTGCTGATGTGGTGTTTAATGGCGCCTATATATTATAAACGCTTCACTAAGTGTACTTTTGGGTTTACTGTCACTCAAATATAAAATATTTATTAAATAAACGGAATTTTGATATTTGTGTGGGTTATCATCCGTAATCGGTGGATTTTCTTACAAATACCACACTTGTGAACTTGTATTCTAAAGGTGTCTTAACTTGGGCCGACTCGGCTTGGGATTTTATTAAAAGTTGAGTGGGCTCGGCTCAGAAGCTCAGACCCAATACAGTGCAAATTCTTTAAATTGGGGTACCAACTTGCACCCCTACTGCATAAATAAATAAAAAAAAAAGTCATTACTTTTAAAAACTACATCCCTAAAAAATTGGGGAGGGGGAGGGGTGTTAGCAAAAAAAACGTATTGTTTTTTGTTTTAGAAAACAAAATCAATTCCATTTGCCAACAAAAAAAAAACAAAACCATATTACATTGACATCATTCCTTATTTCAAGGATTTATCTCCTTTTTGCAGAGTATTCATAAGGACATTTTAACTGCAAAAAAAAAAGATAAATCCTTCAAATAAGAAATACCAAATGCAACCTTAATCTCCTCTTGACTATCCTAAATCAAAAGGTCTATGACCCCATAACTCATTTAAGTAAATGCTAGGCTTGGGTCTGCTTCTTTGCCTATTTAAGTGTTGTGCCTATTGAAACAAATATTATATAGGCAAGCTTGTAAACACCATAATCCCCCAAAACCTATTAAAATAAGACAAAAATTATGGATATGCAACTTCAGTTCGGAAATACTTGTCCACAAAACCATACATGAGGCCAAAATGATTAGACATAAATCCAATTTGCCAATATGTGGTGAAATACATACATAAGAGTATAAATCCATCAACTGTTATTCCTAGCAGATGATATAAGATGATATATTATCAACTAGTGACCGGTGAATGAGAAATGCACACTTAGAATGCATTTCTTGTTAAAGATGTTCATGTGTATTATATGTGGCAATTTTGTATGATGATGATGAGGATGACAATAATAGTAATATTATGTATTCAATTTTTTATATAATTTTTTAATATTCTTATGTGCATAAAACAATTCTTATTTTCTTGTTAAAAATTTTTTGTTTATTATACATATTTTTGTTTAATATATGATAAAATATATATAATATTAGAGGTGTGTCCATATGCTTTTTACAAAATTTATGTATTTTCATAAATTTTAGTGTTTTTACATTTTAAGTTTTTATTATTTAATAATGACATCATGGGTTGGCCCATTTGACCTGGATGGTTGAATTGATTACTTGCTAACTTGTACAGAAGAAAGATTTCATTTTTGGGTCAGCTTTAATAAATCATATGTTTTATAGTATTAAAAGCATTGAATATATAACTAATTAATAGAATTTATTAGTGAAAAACATACCTTAAATATAGGATTTAATGAGAGAGAAAATAAGAGTTTTTTGGCATTAATTTGGGTTTATTTTAAGGTTCATATTTAGAGTTGGGCATAAGTTAGGTTTTGGTTGAATTTTTTTGATTTTTTTTATGCCAATTTGGGTTTAGGCTAAGACCCATATTTAGAGTTTAGCAAAAGTTGGGTTTTAATTGGCAAATTTAGTCCTTAAGGTGACCCAATCCATCTTGTTTATTTAAAACAAAGGGGTTGAGAGTTGTGTGTGTGTGTGTGTGTGTGTGTGTGTGCAGATCATTGAATAGAGTAATAATCAACCTTATTAGAAACCATTGAGACTCAAGGGGGTTTTATCTTGACTTTTTATTTTTTAGTCATTTAATTGTGAGAAATGAGAGGAGAAGGAGGTTCATGTGAGCTGTTGTTCAAAAATGTATTTTTTAAGGGAAAAATGAAGTAATAGTGATTTGCCAAAGTTTTTATATATTTCTAACTCTTTACATATAAAGTAGTAGAAAAAATAATTTTTTTTTTCTTTTTTAGTTATTGAGATTCAAATTTATTCTATTTTATATAGTTTATATATTATGACAAATACATAAACAAACTTATGGTGGGTTCATTTACTTCTTTGGCTACTTGTAATAGAGACTAATCCCATTACCCCAAGGTTAGGTAAATAATAATTTCAAAACTAAACTGACGAAGATAGACAAAGGCTCATGTTAAGTGCTTTCTTATTGCACTTTATTATTGAACAGAACAATCCATGAAATAAATTGACATTAAATTAATAAAAGAGAGAGAGAGAGAGAGAGAGAAACTTGATAACCCATGGAAAAGAGTAATGGTTTATTTAAACTTTTATATAAGAAGAAGATCGGTTCGCCACATGTATTAGGTGGCAAATTTGGATTTTGACATTACTTTGGATCGAAGTTAGGGCTCATATTTAGAATTGGCACTTAACCTAACCCAATCCATCTAATTTACACCCTTATTTTATTAGAAAAAACCAAAAGGGATTAAGAGATTGAAGAGGAAAAGAGAGATTTAATGGGGAGGGGAGATGTTATAAACATTGACTACTAAGAGAGAGAGAGAGAGAGAGAGAGAGATTTAAGAATGATCTTATTAAACAGTAGATATGGATTTTATGAGAGACAATGAAGATCCATGTGGGTTTTAATTTTGACTTGCTATATTTTTTTAAAGATTTATAATTTAATTTAAAAATAAATATGCACATGTGTGAGAAAGAAGATGAAGAGGTATGTGTGAACTCTGTGGTGAGAGAACCCCTCATCTGCCTTCTTTTCCCCATCCCCGATTGGGTATTTCTATTAATCTCATTTCTATCCTGTCCCAGTTAAGACAGTCTCCATCCCCATTTCCGCCTGGTTGGGAAGGCCAGGTAATCGGCAAGAATGGGAAAAACTGTATCCCTACCACTGAGTTATGTAGCCCCATAGAATAACAAGTTTTAAGCCTTATAAGCCCTAACATATTTTTCTTGTATTGGTGAGACAATATCTTAAATATAAGACTGAATGAAAGGGAATTAAATGACGTAAAATTTAGTACTTCAAGTTACATTTTCATTTCTAGGGGCTAAATTAAAAAATAGAGATATTTTAATCAATAAATAAAGCTTCACATCCTTATTTATACTTTTAAAGTATTTTTTTATAGAAGTATGGATATGGATAAAGTGGAAATGTATAAATTAAGTGGTACTTATAAATATACTACCAAGTGATCAATTATCAAAGAAGAGCCGTCAAGGATGTATAAAGAAGATCAAACAATAAATCTTCAAAGAAGCTAAGAGATGCACTCCACATGTAAGGGATAAATGCAGAAAGAATAGAGTAATGATCAGATGGAATACTCGATCCCTCACATTTAGAACTTAAAATTAGGGTAAATCAACTACAAAACACCCATCCTGTCCCCTTGCACATACGGATTTCAGCATTTTGCTCCTTTGCCATCACCATTCCGTCGGTTGAGTCATATCTGGATTTATTTCTATGCATTTGGTATAAAGGTGGGTTAATAAATTTTTGAAACCCCAAACGGTTATTTTTAATACCATTTTACCCTTTTTAAAGTGCATTTTCTAAAATACTAGCTTTACATGTTTTTTTTTTTTTCAATAATAAAGCTTGGTGGGTGGTGGCAACTCGTCCTCTATGGAAATGAACAGGTGGTTCATCTTTTAATGCCTTGAATGATCGAAGGAGTTGATATTCAAATATTGTTCTTTTAAGTGGTTATTTTCATAATTGTTATCTTATTAATATTGTTGCTGTGAGCCCATACAATCTTGAATGGGCAAAATGATGGAATCCAGAAGCGTATGAGTACTTTTGTTGTAAAACAAAGTTTGAAGGACTAATTCACGACCTCCCCTGAATATAGGGCGGATGTCTGCAAAGTTAATTTATAATGCCGGACGTCAGAAGGTATGGAGATGTGGCAATAAAAGTACTCCACTAAGATTACAAACGAAATATTTGTGGAGCCGGCCGGAGCCTGTCATGACACATAAATGATAATTAATCCATTTGGTCCCATATCTCAAAAATTCTCAATCGGTGGCCGAGATCATCGTCATCTATGGACACTCTCGCTCTCAGTGTAGGTGTGTCTTTATAACATTTTAAGTGGCAAGACAATCTGCTCAAGTCTATTTGGAGCCCGGATATCCCGCTAGCAAAATCTCTGTTTAGAGTTTTAGCTTATTAAGAGATTCTGATGCATTTTATTGAGACATGAATATCCTAGTTAGCTTAGGTGGCATTTGATAAATTTGAAAATTCAGGTCTGAAAAGTTAAAAAGATATTAAAAGTGTCTGAAATCTGAAAAGAGGTATAGTTGTTTTTCTACTTTTTAGAGGATCTTAATCAATGAGTTTGTTTGTGTTGGATCAACTTTTTTATCATATGAAATTTACTGATTTTACTATTTTACCCCTAAAATATATTATTTGGAAATATTGAGCTCAATTTGCATTATCTCATAAAAATAATTTTCAACCTTAAAATAACATTGAAACAATACAAATAAAAATAATAAATTATTAATGATTAATTAATAAATTAAATGATTAAAATTAATG